ATGACAATATAATCAAATTTCCTTTCAGACATAATTGTCTGTCCAGTTTTGTTCCCTGATCCATTTTTTTCTTACGTGCAAGATGGGTTTTTTCATTTATTTTCCTGTTAAAAAATAAAAATAAAATAACAAGCACTGCCCTGTAAATATCTGGTAAATTTTTCCATGCTAAAACTTTTAACTAAAACACAAGCCTAATAAGTAGAATTGCCATAATTTAGAATGCTGTAAACACAGATCATACTGTACTCAAAAAGAGGTGGCCAAGTAGGTGTTTACCAACCTGATCCCTATGGCAGGAAGAAATCTGTAAGAAGATACAGTTTATCAAATCAAGTTCCCTAAATCCTAGCTAGCAAATTCAGCATCCCTCATAAACACTGAATTACCCTTACAGATGTTTGCCTATGAAATTATCAACTACAGAAGGTACTTTGCTAGGAGAGACAATCTGTTCAGCATCAAATCTAAAAGAAATGCTCTATCTGCATTTTTGATTCCAGAAAGGATTTGATAGTTTGTTGATTTTTTAAAGTAAATTCTTGCTATGAACAAATAAATCATACTACTGCAGAACAAATAATCATTGAGCATCCATCCTTAGCTAGTAGCATTTAGAGCATGCTGCTCTCCTTGGCTTAACTCTTCCAGAAATGATTACTCTAGGATCCATAAAACCCCACAGAGCTCAGAAAAGAAGCTGCTGCTGGTGCCCATATTACTACAGATGAGCTGCCTAGGAATACCTCACATGATCGATGAATGTTACTGCAAAATGCCATCACTGTGGCCAGAGTTGTTACTATTTTTTATTTCCATTTACACATGAGAGTAGCTTGACTCTAAAGAGTAAATAGCATGCTGATGGAAGCAAGTGTAAAAGCTGGGATGCATTGCACAGATTGCTGCTTTTAAGTTTCTGATTTGTAAAATTCATAATAAGCAATAATATGCTTGAAAAGGAGCAAAGACATCTGAATTTGTACGGCTCATTTCGTGGGAGAAGATCAGTTTGGTGTAAAGGTGTTGTAGGCCAATGAATTCTAGTTTGTTCAAAAAACTGCTTAAATTATTCTGGCATAACTGAATTTGTACAAATTGAGGAAACAACAGAAGCTGAAATGAATTGCTGGTTGAATCCACTATAATGTTAATCATAAAGCAGACTGGAGGCTGCTAAGTAAGAATGGATTCAGATAAGCCAACAGGACCAGAAGAACATATAGCATGACTCTTGTCAGAGATTTGGAGAACTGTGACCTGAGGCAAATTACTTCACCTCTCTGACTTTCACTCTTTACCATTCTGTAAAGCATGACTAATAACAGTTTTTGAGGGTTGTTGTGAAGGTTCAAAGACATAATGTGCTTACGAACTGTGCCTGGCATGCAATAGACCACACATTACTATTATCAATTCTTTTATTATTAGAAGCAAATTTGCTATTGTTTTATTATTTGAAATTAGATTAAAAAATATTAAAGAATGACAAAAAGGCAGAATTAATTTCTAAGATCTGTTCAAATTATATTGGTTTGCTGGTATTCTTAAAGTTGCTGGAAATGTCAGCTACTGTCTAAAGCAATTTTGTTTAATATTCAGAGATTCTCACTCTAGATTTGTGACAGGGTGATTTAGAGTTGGGTGTAGTGCAAAGATCACTAGATTTAGAAAACAAAGGCCAGATACTGTTTTACTTCTGCCACATACCAGCCCCACCCTGGATTGCAGGTCATTTAACCTCTCTGGACCTCGATTTCATGAAATAATAAGAAACTACCTTATTCCTTATGACCAAATAAGACAATGAGATTCAAGTGCTTTGAAAAGCCGTCACCTGCTATAGGAAAATAAGGTTGACACATCAGGTCAAGTTAACCTGTTGTAATCTGATTGCATCTGCAAGGGCATGAGGGCAAGAAGAAAATTGCTGGAAGACGAGACAAGGTGGGCTCCGGCATATTATAGCACTTTGCCCAGGGGGACAAAGAAAGAAAAGTGGACCCGCTGGTCTGAAGGGGTGCTGAGAACATTGTCAGACGAATGGTGAGAGGGGCTTTCAAGAGAAACCAACTGGCTTGAATTTGGACAGCATTTTGAGAAAGGGGGCCATAACAAAACACATAAGGTGAAAGCATTTCCATAGCCTGGAGGACTGAGGGACTGAGAGTGGGGAAAGGCTGGTTGTGTTGCATTTGGTTAATAAAAGAAGTCTGTCTCCATGTGAGATGAAGTGGGTTTGCATATGTTTGCTTGCCAGGTGGTGGAGGGAAAAAAGGGGGATCAGGGAAGTGGGAAAGATGGGAGAGCAAATGGACTCAGATTTTCATGGTGCAGATGCAAACAATGTGCATAATTTAAATTTTCCTTCATTGGAGGTGGGCAGAGAGATGGAGGGGGTAATAACTAGCTCATGCTTCTAGATGAAGACACTGAAAAGCAACACAGCTAGGAAATAAGGGAATCTCATGAGCAACCGGAAGCCAGCTCCTCCACTCTGGGGCTGGTGCTCCTTCCTCTGCATAGCTCCCCTCAGTGAGGAGAGATGACCTTGTTTGGGCCTCTGCTTAGTTTGAAAAGCAGTGAACATGGCCAGGAGAGGTAGGGAGAAAGAGAAAATGTACTTTTCCCTAAGAAGGGGGTTTATGGGGAATGAGGTGACAAATTTACTGCGGAACCCGCCACAGGCCTCTAAGGCCCTCAAACCAAAAGGAACACGAATGTGTAATTAAGACAAAAAGCCCAACAAGCATGCTCTATTGTGACAAGCAAGGTGGTCTATAAAAATTTAACAATTAGTCATAAAATTGGGGACGCAAATTTCAGAAAGCTTATTTTTATTTGAAGCATGGGGAATGAAACATTCATTCTTTAATAAAAGAAAGCCCACTCATTAACAGTGTTGTTGGGAAAAAAAAAAAAAGAATTCTATACAATCTATAGCCCTTCAAAAAAAGAGACATTTCTCTAGATTCTCTTTCAAGAATAACAGAAGGACTTTTGTTACTTTCTCAAAGCATGTTATCTTTTGTGAGCCTATTAAGGAAACCTGCTTCTTTTCTTTCCATGTGTAAGTGAAATTCTGTTGTTTCTCTAAGTGGCTCCTTTAGGAGACTGGTGTTGCCAGCCTCTGCCAGGTGTTCACCCTCCTTCCTGCATTTAGTCACATAACCAACCACCTAGGCACCAGGGCCGGGTTGCTTTCAAGTAGGTGATTTCAATTGTGACAAATTAGGTAGAGATTTTGAGGTATGTCTGGCATTCCTTTGGGAGTTAAGAAAAAGGCCACTGAGTTTATTTATGCTTGTGACTCGGAGAAGAAAGGAATAACAAGGTTACTATGTAGAGCAGAGTAAGACATTTCTTTCAATGTTACTACCTTCTGTTAAGGAAGGCTGTTGACAAGTGAGCAAGGATTGAATGTATTTTCCCAATGGGAAAGGAGCAAGCAGCTGAGTTCCCAGTGTGCATTCCTTTTGTGGCACTCATAACAGCTGCCTCGTCTCCACCCAAAACGTCGGGCCCCTGAGATAGATGACTGAGACAGATGACTGAGGGGTTGCTGGGTTCTTATCTTACCAAAGTAGTCAGCATAGCCCTAATCCAGCAGTCCCTAACATTTTTAGCACCAGGCACTGGTTTCATGGAAGACAATTTTTCCACAGATGAGGGGGTAGGGAGTGGGAGTAGGGGTGGGGAGATGGTTTTGGATGAAACTGTTCCACCTGAGATCATCAAGGCATTACATTCTCATGAGGAACACATGGTACCAGTCCATTGCCTTGGGATTGGGAACTCCTGCCCTAATCCGTATAGTCTTATCACTGATCAAAGTGATATGACTGACTCATCTCTTTAATAGTCAAGAACAATGTTCTTGGGCTGAAACAGGTGCACGAATGTGCACATCAGGTATACTCTGGGTGGCAAGCCAATTCAATGGTAAACAGCTTTTGGCTCTTGACTATCCCCTTGGCTGCATTTTCTCAGGGCTTGCTTCAAACACTGGGCTGCTGAGAAGGCATTTACTGGGAGAGGGGGATGAAGAGGGAGTTGGAGTGACTTTGGTAACTGAGGAAAGGGGATGCAGAATTTTCACTGGCACACAGATTATTTTCTTTCCCAGATAGAAAGCCTTCATGGTTTTTATATGACTACACTGGTCATCATTTATTACAATAACAAGGATTTATATACCACTTGGTAGCCTATAAGGGAGTTAGGGCAGGTATTATTGTCCTCTTTTACAGACAAGGAAAGGAAATTCAGAGAGATAAAGTAATCTGTCCAAGGTCATAGAAGTGACAAATGGTAGAGCCGGTACAGGAGCTCATTACCATGATTCCTATTCTTGAGATTCCATACTGCCTTCTGATGCCAATGGCCAGAGACAGTAGACAGATATGTTTTTCTGACTTAAATTTGGTTTCTTCTTTTGGTTTAATTGTTTACTTCAGGAGAGATTATAGCCACTCTTTCAACTTTGTTCTGCCCCCAAGGCATTCACACACATACACTCACTTCCATAACTAACACTTCCCACAACATGCCATCATTTTCAAGTCTCTCATCTTCTTCTCCTCTCCCACTCCCACATCTCTTCCCCTCATTATAGGCCACAATCAATGTTGATAACCATGTTCCACGTAGTGGGCGGCAGCAGTGAGATTGAGTTGAGGTCCCAGAAAGGTAAAAGGCAAAGGTTTAGGGTATGGTGCTTGAACAGGGAAAGTTTCCTAAAGAAGGTGGTGAGTGTCTGAGAAGGATGTAGGAATGGATAGGGCAGAAGCTTAGTGATATTAGAAAACTAGCTTGATTACAAAATGGAAAGAAGACAGGTAAGAAATGAGGCCACTGGAATAAGCAGAAGGGTCTTGAAGTAGAATGTCAGGATTCCCCATTATGAAACTCCTTGAAACAGAACAGTAATTACTTTAAACAGCTTAAGCAGATAGATTGCTTCATTATTAAAAGGCACAAAAATAAAGGTTTAAACTCACCCGCAAGATTTCTTCAACACAGCTTGGATCACTGGGAAGACTTACCTGAAACAAAATAAATAGAAAACATTAGGCACAATCTATTTATTCTTCTTGTACAATAGTTTACTCTGTAGGACAAACTGTAAAGCAAGAAAATCTAGCTATCAATTTTTTCCTATTAAATACAAAAGAATATCTCTGCAAATGACTAATTTTGTTTTACTTTAATGAAGTGGTAAGATCGCAGTGCATGGTGCAGAAAGAAAGTGACTCCTTGTTCTGTCACTGATTTGCTTTCAGGCACTGACCCCTCCCCCATCCCCTCGGGCTTCTCTTTGCTCATCTATCCAAAGAGAGCTTGATCTCATGATCTTTAAGGCATCTTTGACCCTCTGACATACTTTTGTATATTATTCATTAAAAATATGAGGCCTATATAAAACACTTTGTGATTAAATTGAGTTCTTTTTGAACTTGGGAGTCCAACTAGGTGCTTACAAAACACTCAGGATAACGGCCTGCGTAAATTGCATGCTTGCCTTGGCAGTTACAAGAAGTCTAAGAAGTATACTCAGTGAATCCCATGATCCATTTTTCCCAGTGTGACACCTTCCTAATGAATCAAGATTCAAGTCACTAGCAGAAAGGTACTGAGGGTTTATACCATGTCAGGCCCATAGCCCTTTCCTGCAGGTGCTTCATAATCAGTGAAAGCAAGAAGTGAGATAATAAAATAAGATACCAGTTGCAAGACAGTACACCATCAGGAACTTGAGAGTCAGGCAACCATCTAGAAAAATGTCTGCTGATCACCACGTCATCTGTGCAGGTTTTAGGCATCCCCCAAACATTCCTATTTCCCCTTCACACCTTAACCCTCTCCAGGATTGCAGTCTGATCACATTTGCTTCCTGCCTGCTCTGGTAAGAACAGTGGGTCTCTCATTCACTGCCTTGAAAGATGAACGCCCAGTCCTGCTAAGAGAGCACTGCCATTACATCTACATTGCCCAGGCCTCTTGCAAGGACAATTATTAACTCCCCAACAGACTGAAGTATGGACTCAACTATATTTGGGGAAATGAAGAATAGAATATGGCACTAGATTTCCTCACCTGACAAAACTACAAGTTAAACAATACAGCAAATCTTCAAACAGAATTATAGTCACTTCTGTACATGCATTCATTACAACCAGTATTTATTGAAGACCTTCTACATGTAAAAGTCCCCACTCCAAGAGGCCTAAAATCCCAAATAGGAGAGACAGCCTGAGACAGTCACCAATAATGAAGGGCTATCAATTCTAGATGGCCCAGTACAACCCCAGGTTACACTTGTTATCTGTGTAATTATTGATAGTATTCCCTTTCTCTCTCAAAAATGTCCTCCAGTTTGGATGACAAATTTATACAGCCATCCTCCCAATAACAATAATACTCTAATACTAGGTAGAAGAAATAGGAGAAGAAAAGACTTAAGTTGGCTGGGCATACCTTGTAAAGAATCTAAAATACAGGTTTCAGATAGAGAACCACTGGTGATTTGGTGTAGCACAATTCATTCATTCATTCAACAAACAATTTTGGAGAGTTAAGGACTGTGCCACTTGGTGCTAGGCAGAGTTACAATGGGAAGCAAAAGGAGACACAATTTCCTCACTCATGGAGTTTACAGGCTCAATAGGAAGGTGAATACGAAGAATCACATAGTTAATGCACAACTATAAGCTGTGGGGAAGTACTAAAAAGATGACCATCCCATGGACAGTAGTTATGCAAAATAAAAGGTTTTGTGTCCAAAGAAGTATGGGAAATGTTGCAACCCATATTGTATCCCTCTTTGGAGATCCATGATGCAAATAAAAAGGTGTGAGACACCTGTCTAAAATTTTTAATAAAGTACATTCCCAACTTCCCTGGCCCTTAAGTCTTGGGTTTTTAGTTTTAGTTGTTTTTTTATTTGTTTGTTTTATTTTTCAATTAATAACTACTGCTATTTCACAAAATGAATCTTTGCAGAATATACACTGGAAAATGCTAGTCTAACATGTTTATATGATTATACAGCTAAACTGGCAGTTCTCAACTGCAAATACAACCTCATTCCATTGCTCAGTGCTCCAGCAACTGTATTTTCCAAGAGAGTTCTTGAACTTCTAACAAACACATTCCCCAAATACAAAGGTCAAAGGATTATAAGAAAGGCTTAAATCTTCAATATCATTGTTGCATTGTATTAGAGTGTGCAGCCTAGGCTAAAAATGTATGGCCCAGTCTCATGAAAAGGTCTTTGTTCCCCTTTTCCCACACAAACACATCAGCATTAATTTTTAAATCAAAGTGAAAATATATGAGTGATATGCAGACACAGCAAGAGCACCTGCTGATGAGTCAAAAGGGTTGGGAGGGAGTCCTGGCCCTACCACTTGGGAACAGGACTTAATAACTGTACCTTTCTGAGTTCCAGTTTTTCCAAATGTAAAAGAAAAGGAAAGAATAATAGTAATACCAATCCTTTTTAAATCTCACAGGGCTCCTGTGAGCATCCTGTGAAATAAGTGATGTGACTGTGCTTTGTAATCCGCAAAGCCCAATACAATGAATTAAGTTATTACCCCTTGTCCTGTTGTTCTCCTTACTTTTCTTAAGTCCTGTCTTCTCATCTTTTCAAACTAAGATTTGACTCACTCTTGCCAACTGAAAATATCATCTCCCCTCTTCGAAATATAAATATCCACTTCTTTATGGGAGGAAATGCTGTCAAAAGAGAAAAAGTTGTGGACTCTGAAGCTTTGCAGCACATTTAATAATGACTGACTATTGGAGTCGGCAGCACTCAGGACAGACAGAGAAGAACTCTAAAGGCAAGAGCAGTCAAATAAATATGCATTCACACTCAGTGTTTAGATATTTTTCTTTAGAAAACACTAAAATCCAACATTCTCATAAAGTCACTAGTTCTACAAATTCATCTAGCCCAGGCCCACAGCTGTTTTCTCCATAAGACAACCACGTTTGAACCGCAAGTGCTTTTCCTTCCTGCAAGTGTTTTTTAATTAACCAGCAAATATTTCTTACGTGCCTAGTACAGTGCAAAACATGGAGAGTTGGTAATACAAATCACTCTGAGTCTCGGGTTCTTTCTCTCAGAGTTAAATGTCTAGATGGGATAGGAAAACAAACAATTAGAAACCCACTGGGACATACATTGTAAGGTAGTCATGACAAGGGTAATAGGATCGCATTCATTCGCCTGTCCGCCTATTCATCAGCTCTCCCATTTATTTCTTTAGACAACAAATCCTGATTGAGCTCACACTGTGCTCAGGATGGTGCCAAGAGGGAGGATTTAAAGACACTGAAGACAACACCATTTCTGCCTTCAAGACTCCACGCAAATTGAGGAAACAACATTTACAGGGAAACAGACAAGACCAAACAGTAGGTCTGATTTAAGTGCCAGGGAAAGGGTACCTACCGGGTTCACCGACACTGCCATGTCAGACAGAAGCTCCCAGCCGTTGAGGTCCCCACTGTAGTCCTCGCTCCATATGGGAGTGAGAGGCCAAGGATTCGACATGGCTGAGAAGTGATGGGGCCACCTGAGGCCACTTCAGTCACTGAGTCCCCTGCGGAGATGCACCAGGGTCACTCTGCACACTGGAAGAAAGCTGAGCTAAGGCTGGGGCTCAGCCCCAAATTCTATTCTCTTGCACTCTCTTTCTCTTTCTCACAGACACCCACACGTCTTTGCAGTAATTCTGGAGGAGTTACTCGGACAGGTGTGAAAGACAGAGACTGAGGAAGAGAACTAGTGGTGGCACTGGGATTAGAACTGCCGCCCGTTGAGTTGCCAAGCTGCTGCTTAATTCCGGAGGCACCTTCTCCTCTCTTTAAATCCACTCTTGAGTATTCAGATAGTCCACAAAGCGCCAAGTTAGCCACTCAGAGCTGCAGCGTCCTTTCTCATTCCCCCTCTCCGCCCCCTCCTCCTGGAGCAGAAAGCAAGCTGCACGACACACAGGGGAGGCTGTGCTCTCACTCCTGGCCCCAGACGACCCTCTTGTGCTGGGCACGGATGTGGTCCTCTGAGGGCCAGGGAAGGGAGGTGCACATCGGGCAGGTGGTGAGTTCACCGAGAACCCTCACAAGTGCCTACCCTCTCTGCATCTAACAGTGCAGGCTGCCACTCCATGTAGCCACAGAGATCACGCACAAATTATCTGCCTGGTGATAAATACATATCTTATGAAATAATCAGAGTTCCTTTAAATCATCAAATATTCAATTAACTGCAGCAACAATAAATGAATTGCATAGGATGGTTTAATCGGAGCATACTTCTTAGCGGTTAGGGTAATACAAGATATCAAAAACATGCTGATTGTGGCATTGAGAGACATAAGCAGCAGCCATCACTAATAGAAAACATGGAGATTAATGTAAAACATTAATAGAATAATGATCATCACATGGTTAATCCAGAGGAGCTCAATGCATACCTCTGAGTATATTATTACTAAGGGATTGTGAGAGAAGAGAGGTCATTTTTTTCCCATAAAATCATCCTGAGGGTGGTCCCACAATACCTGGCAATCATAATCCACTAGTCTAGGTATATTCCACCTAGACAAACACTTTCTCAAAGTAAAACTTAAAAACCGAAAATTTAATTGCAAATTAAATAACTGGGCCCAGTTAACCAATATCCACAACAGACACTGATGGCGACTTCCAAACTAATTCCATTTGTACTTTCATTAACAAACTTCCCCATTTATCCCCATGATTGATTTGTGGTACACAGAAGTCCCCTGACACAGAATTACTAATAAAATAAAAACCTAGGTTATGATATTGTACTACCAAATGAGTTTTCGAGCTTTTTAAAATTTGTAATTCCCATCGTTGGTAATTTGTAAAAACACAGGACAGCAGCCTCTGAAGTTCCTATTTGCATGCATTATGAAATCCCCTATGTCTCTATCCAGGGAGTCCCAGTTTTCCAAAATGAATTTGGAAAACTACAAACTCAGTTCACATTAGGATCTGTCTGTCCCTT